TAAAAAAACAACTGAAGCGGAAGAAATTAGCACCAAGACAGAGGACTTTAAAGATCAACAAGTACAACGGATTGAAATTTTAGACAACCAAACCCTGATTGCAACTAAAGAACCTACAACCCAAAAAACATCAGAAGCGGAAGAAAGTAATACCAAGACGGAGGGCGTTAAAGATCAACAAGTACAGCTTACTGAAAACTCAATCAAACAACAACTACAAAATTGGATATGACTTTCTACTTAAACCAGACGAAACCTGAAGAAGAAGAAGACCAGATTGAATTGAAGACAAATATATTTAGAGCAAATATGGGGATCTGAGCCACCAGGGCGACAACTTAATGATTATAAATGGGCCAGTTTCTTTAGAAAATCGACAATTAGATGTAACATGCACAAGAACAAAGGGAGATCTATCTGATGATCTAAAAGCATTGGTATGGAAGCCTGGTTGGCATAAAAAGAAAGCTAGAGTTAGATTTAAAAAATGGGGTCTTTTCATTTATTAGAAAGGATCCTAAAGTTTCAACTAATGGGCTAAAGGGAGATTTGGAGATGAAGGGAAATTTGATTATTAGATTTAAATATTGTTGGAAAATAATAAAAAACAAAGGATTAATTGACTTAATATTGAGGATTTAGATTTATAAGGGAAATGAAAATTAACTATTAGGAAATAGCTTTGAATAATTGTTTAGCCCAGATAATGCAGATGATGGATTTGAGATAATAAAGGTTACTCCATTATTGTGGTGATGTATTAGGATGAGAAATAGAAAATGTTTATGAAATAAAATAAGAATATATTTACGGAAGTAATATGTGTATTTTAGATACTATAACTTTTATGTAGTGAAATGAGATTTGGGCTACCTGAAAATTAAATACTATGGATATTAAAGGTTAAATTGGAATATTGCAATTAAATATTAAAATTAGGTAAAACTTAAAAACAGGATATGGTTATGTATAAGCAAAAACATATTGATACATGTTTTAACTGAGTTTGATATAATTAGAATTTTACTAGCTTAAATCTGATATAGCAAATGTTAAGGGAAATAGAGAAGGATTTTTTGATGATGTAACCTGAGATATGTACTAAAGATTTTGTTATTGAACTATTGACTAACCCAATCACCACGTTGCTTTCCAAATACTCAATTGGAAAATTGGAAAACTAATAAAAAATTAATTATAAGGATCTGCATACATTTATAGGTAATCCATGAAAATATTACAGTTATAAGTAAGTTACAGTTCTTCTACATTGTAAAGCAAATTATCTCAAAATATAAGTATGTCTTCTCCATATATTAAAAGGCTTTTGATAGCTTGATTTCTCATGTTTTGCAGTTATAGTTAATTAGTTCAGAAAATCTGCCCCCAATATCTCTCAGCAAGGCCAAAATTGAATTTTAAAAGTAGTAATGAATTCTGTAAATTTAAATCATAGATCTCAAAACCAAAGCAAGTCTTGCTGCTTATATAATCATTTACAGCCCTTCAGTGTTCCAAAATTTGGATCAAGCAATATGAAAGACAGATTTTGTTTTAGAGTATTTGGGTTTCAAGGAGGTCTGTTAACAAACTATAAACATAAGAATACATTGATGCTTGCATAATGTATATCCTGCTGTATAGCATCTGTTAGAAACTACTGGAAAAGAACATTTGGAAATTCAAAGTCTTTTACTCCCAATATGCTAACAACTTGCCACCCTGGGTGAAATAAGCTTTTTATCCCCCTTCAGCTGATGCATCATTTGTGACCCATTCTTCACAAGGGGGATCTGGCTACAGTGACTCAGTACTTGGGCTTCTGCAATTTGTTCCTCATAGAGCTGCCTCTAAACATCTCTTGGCAACTGCAGGTCATCCAAAATGTAGCACCATGCATGCTGACAGAGATTTGTCTGTTTGATCATTTTATATCTGTGTTGCAAGACCTGCACTGGCTACCTGGGAGATTCCAAGTTCAAATCAAATACTGTCTATGGGATTGCCTGCTTGAACTTGAGTCAACCGGACCAAGGCAGACCTCCCAGGAAAGGCTACTGATTGTCTCCCATTTTTTTTTAATGAAGAAGTATTATGAAGCTAGAAAACTGTACTCTTCCAGAGGGCTTTTGGACCTGAATGTTCATATCTTTTACTTTATAAAGTCTAATTATCTAATTGTTTTGTTTGTTTAACTGATTTTCTTATTAAACTAGATTAATATGTTATATTACATTATTATGGATTGATTTTAGGTTTAATATTGGATGTTATATAATTTCGTATCTCATTTATTATTGTAAGCCATTGGATTAGATGATACATGAATAATAATTATTGCTTTATAAGGGGCATATATTAGTCAGTCAACGTTGTAGACATTTTTTTATATATTCAAATTTTTATTGATTTTCAAATAAACAAATTACAAATATGGTATACATTAGTAAACAAGAAAAAAAACCCATATTAAATATCTATTCAGAGATGCTCAGCAGCCCCCCCCCGCCTGCGTCCACCCTCTCTTTCACCCTTCCTGCCTACTTCCCTCCTCCTCTCTTCTCCTCCTACCTACACCTCTCTCCTTCTCCCTCTCAACTACCTTACACATCCCGCCTCCTTCCTTTCCTCATCCTTCGGACGCAGTTTGGGGGCGCCAGCCGAGCATCTCATCTTCTTCAAATACATTATTTCACTATAACATTTTAATGTACCAAAATTTACATTTACATCTTTAATCCCCCTCCCCAACGTTGTAGACATTTTTGATAGAACCATCACTGAAAACAGCAAAGTGAATTTAGCAGCTGGGAAATAAACTGTCAAATTCTCTTATAGATTAGCAATTAAGAACAAGAACCAGCAAGCAGAAATAATCTTTACAATGGAAAGAGATCAATAGTAGTGTGAGTGCGACGTATACCAAGTGTATTGGATATCTTAGGAAAAGGATGTTGGAATTGTGGGAGTGTACAAGCAATGCTGACATGGCTGCATTTCGACCTCATTGTAGAGTTGAGAAAAATACAGAAGGGGACAACTAAAATGGTCATAATATTGTAACATTTTCCCAATTAAAAAAGAATATATTAGGGCTATTACATTTAGGGGGAAAAGAAAAAGATACAGAGCAAATAGAGAAGTGAATTTTTTTGACAGCAGATTGAGAAAAGATAAAAATGCATAATACAAACCAGATCTGTTTTGTAGAATTACGTGGCTTTGAGAAATTTACGGAATATAGAGCTGTCAATATTAGCCAGGATAGTTAAATGGAACCTCTTGGTACAGTGGTAGTATTTCTCCAGATCCCAGTTGCAAGAAGACAAATAGCAATTCATGCCCTGCTTCAGGCATCCCTGAAGCCCATTTTCAATATACAATTGGTCATGCTTTACCCAGACATTCAGGATCCTCGATTTACATGTTCTTCTGTTGCTCATTTGACTGGCAGCATAAATCCTGGTGTGGGTATCTTTATCTTTTCCCTCTTTGGTGGGAAAAATCTGAAGACAGTGTATGTGGGCATTTGGCTCTGGGAAACACAGAAGCCTCTCTGAAGGAGCCTTATGACACAGATGCTTCTCCATATGATTAAGCTAAATATGCACTTATGAATCCTTTTTTCCTCAATCTAGAAAGGTTGGGAAAAGAGGGATAGTATACATTGCTCTGTGTTGCCTTTCCATGTTCAAGTATGTTGTTTGAATAGAGCTTTTATATAAAACACTGTTCTAGAGATACCTAGCCTAGGTAACTGAGACTTTGAAAATCTACTTTTCAAGGAAAGCATTCCATGTGAACACTTTTTATGGGATTTTTTTCACCTTTGCAAAAACTAGGGTGTGTTGCAAGATCTTCATTTAAAGACAGAACTATGTCCCTGTCTGAGGAATCAGTTGAGTAATCATGATAGGAACTATTTGCACCATTTACCTGAGTTATGTTTTTACATTCCAAAAGTTCCATAGCAAATGGTATTTGATATTCTGTCATAGTTATAGACTAGTTTTGAAAATGCATGAAAAAGACTAGTTTGGCCTGTGTTTATGAGGTTTTTTTTTTTTACATAATTACTTCAAAGATTTTTTTAATGCATTGGAAGAATAAATTGGCTTTCTTTCCATTGTATTCTGTAGCTAAAAGGTCTTGCATATTCTCCTCACATGCTGATAAGTTTGAAAAAGAAAACCTAGAAAATGTGACATAGCAGCTTGTGATATGATTTTCTACAAATGCCACCTTTAACATGCTGATCAAATGTGTATAATGTCTATTTGTAAGAACAATGCAGTATAGTTAGCTATTGCTTTGAATACATTTCAATAAAAGCCATGATAGCTGGAGATTTCAGGGATTTGAAGTCCAGACATCTTAAAGTTGCCACAATTGAGAAACACTTTTAGTGTAATAATATGAGCGAGAAGCATGAGGTCTTGTATTGCTGTACCTCTGCATCTGTGTGCCTTTGTTTAATCTGCCTTTTAAAGGAAGCGTAAAGGTGCATCCAGACTTTCAGTAATTGCGGATTAATTCTTGAAATTTTGAACATGGTTTAATAAAAAAAAATTCCTATGGACAAATTCAAATTAGGCATTTTCTTTCCTCCTCTCCCTCTCTCTCTTTCTCTCTTCCTCCTACCTGTTCAGTTATTAGCTAGGGTTCATGTATTAAAAAATGGGTACATCCATTACATTGCCTGCCTTCTCATATAACACCATGTTTCTTTACAATTCTTAGATCTTTACCCTTTCAGAATTGATGTTTTATTTGGCACAGGATATATTGATGATGTTATAGATGGATTCCGTAATAATTGCAGGTAATACAGGAGGAAGCAAATAATTACCGGAGGAAGTGAACTGACTTCCCAAGCCTTAGTGAATTACAGGATGAGCAACATGGAACAGTGTTCTGAGCACTAGAACAGCCTGCTGCTTGGCAATTAAGTGTAATTTGGTGCATAAAAGAATAAAAGTCATTGCTTCTCACTTTTGCAGATCTTACTTACAGAAGAGTTTGTGGAAAGAATGCTGGAAAACCTAGAGGATCTGAGTTCTCCAGAAGAAGTAAGTTTACTTAATTCTAATACCTGAAAAGACACTCTTTACACAGGTAGTTTTCAACTTACAACAGTTCATTTAGTGACTGTTCGAAGTTACAACGACACTGAAAAATGTGACTTATGACCGTTTTTCACACGACTGTTGCTGCATCCCCATGATCATGTGATCAGAATTCATATTTATGAAGTTGCAGTGTCCTGGGGTCATGTGATCACCTTTTGCCATCTTCTGACAAGCAAAGTCAATAGGGAAGCCAGATTCACTTAATAACCATGTTATTAATTTAACAGCTGCAGTGATTCACTGAACAACTGTGGCAAGAAAGGTCGTAAAATGGGACAAAACTCACTTAACAATAGACATTTTGGGCTCAATTGTGGTACGTTGAGGACTACCTGCATATCTTGACTTATGTATGTAATTTATGTAACTTATTGTATAGATCAGCATCAACATTTGGAATTCTTTGCTGGATGAACTTGAAGAATTAAGATGTTCCTTCAGTAGGGACCTTATGCTAAATTGAGATTTCTCCATGTAGGTTTTTTTGCCATTATGCTCCTTTCCCTGAGACATTTTCCCCCTTTTATGGTAATTTATAAATCCATAAATGTATTACTTAGAGGCAGGTTTTATTGCAATAATATTTATATACTATGATTAAAAATTATGAACATTCTGTTATTTAGAAAACTTAAAAAGTGTTGAAATGGAAACATCCTGTTTTCCCTAAAAGATTCAGTACTTTGCTCAGAGGAAAGTGCTTCAACTCCTTTTGTAGTTTTTGTTATACATGCTTTTAGATTAATTGACCT